CCCCAAAACCCCAAAACCCCAAAACCCCAAAACCCCAGGCCTAGTTTATTATTGAATTTTGACTGAATTTAAATTCCAACCTTAGCAAATGGCCACTCATTGCCTTCAATATTAGCAAACTCGTATTCATCTTGGAGATAGAACTTACCAGAATTGTCACAGAGACCAATAGAGATATCAGGAATCACATTTCTGAAGAACCTGATAGGGTAGCTCTTACAAATATGTCTCAAATCTATCATGAATACCTCTGAAAATCTGAGAGATCTCAGGATTTCCTCATTAACTTCAACAGGTCTGTACGAATCTGCGGTTACTTGGGTCTCAAGCCATTCAAGCATTCTTTGAGTAAACAGGTCATTATCTTCTTCATTATTCTGCTGGTTAAATGTTAAAGTCTGCTCTTCTCCATAGATGTTCTCCTTCCAACCATCAGTCTCAGGCTTAGTCCTCTGAGATGGTCTTGAGCTAGGAGTTGAAACACTTTCATCAGGTTCTTCCTTTAAGAGTTCTAGAACATTTGGAAGAGGAATTCTTGCCTCAGGTACAAATTCTACCAATGGAAGAGTGTCGAATCCGACGAAGTTTCTTATGAATGGGTGACCACAAGCAGTACAATGATCTCCATTCTGGTTAATAAGTGCATTTACATTCATACATCTGTTACAGATTGGCTGGTATTGCTCTTTATCTGAAAATGGCTTGCATCTGATCTTTAGGGCTGCCAGATCGATCTCTTCTTGCCATTCTGGGGATATTTTCAAAGTCTGTAGCTTTTCATATCCAAATCTAGCAGTTCTGAAAGCTTCAAATTTAGAACCTAAGAGGCTCAAAGCGTAGTAAATATACACCTTGTTAATTCCTTGCAAACTTTGACTACTGATAGTGTTTACTAAGAATCTTGATGAATTGAAAATAGTTTCGTTGATTAGAGATCCATGCACCATACTATGATAAGGATCTTCGATGAGTTTATGAACATGATCGTAGGCATGATAAATTTCAGCCTTTTTGGAGTTTTCTTCAAATCTCTTTAAGTTTTTCAAATCTTCGGGTGATGGATGGACTGCATCTTCCACCATCCTCAAATACTCACATGCTAGTATAAAGAGATATTTGGCAGCATCCTTGAATCTCTTCTCGATTACAGCATTCTTAGTCAGGAATTCGATGATTCTTAAGGCAAGATCAGGCTTCTTAGCTTTCTTGTATGCTGCCTGAGCTTCTTCAAATTTATCATTTGCTGCTAACCAATCTGCATATGGGAGATAAACTTTATCAGCAAATTGAGGATGGGTCTTTAGTTGGTTCAACGCTTCGTCCCATTGATGGAACTCAATATGGAGAGCCATAAGTCCTTTAATATCTCCAAGCTTCAGAAGAGCTTGTTTAGCATAAGTATGATTATCCATTTCTTTAAAGTATCTAGCACATAAATGAATTTCTTCATTATGCTTATCTTTATCGAGGATCTTGAGAATATTCAAAATAGAGTCAAGGACTCCCTTCTTTCCATACACATCAATTGCTTCTTTAAAGTGTTTGCATTTGATATAGAGACTAGCTGATTCCTTCCAATTTCCGTTATCTTCTTCGTCTCTAGCTTGGTTAAGGATCATTTCGTCATCCATAATATCTCCTTGTCCGTATTTCTGTGCCACTTCTTTTGCTTCTTTGAACTATATATTTACTTTTGGGCACTTACCTTCCTCAAGAGAGTGTACATATTGATAGCTTTCTTGGCAAGATTGTTCTTGCAAAGAAGTAAGCTTGCTTCTTTGAATTTTCCTAGATAGCATAAAATTTCGCCCTCAAGTTCAAATTTATTCAAATCTTTTCTTCTATGAGCATTTTCAGATTTCTCACAGAGATCCAGGAATTTTAAATCTCTGATCCTAGCGAAGGCCCTTTTTGACATGTCGAAGTCATTCGCCTTTAGAGCTTCTATTCCAAGGGACCTCCAATCTTGCTCTGTGACACCGAGACATGCGATTTTATAAGCCATTTTGAAATCTTTTTGCAAATATTGATAGAATGTTCCAGATTGAGGTACATCAATCGCTGTCATAGAACCATCAAAAAGAGTGAAGATTTTAGAGCCTTTGAAGCCAACTACCTCTCCTGGCATTCTTTGACTGGAAGGAGAAAGATCTCCTGTTTTGATATAAAGTTGTCCATCTCCTGTATAGGCAAGCATTTCGTCCATTTCTAGATTCCAAGAGACAGATTCTACATTCGTCTCTTGGTGCAATAACTTCTTGGAGATGCTGTCATAGATAAATAAATTATTGAATTCATCAACGACAGCAACTTTCTCTCTGTTAGCATTAATGTCAACAGACTTGATAGCAGTAGATTGCTTGATTAATAAGATTGGGAAAGCATTGTCAACAAACACTTTGAAAATACTTCCATCTTTGAGACCTACAATCAAACCTTCTTTCTTTGGAGGACCTCCGATTACTTTCGAGTATCCTATTTCTGAGTCCATAATCCATTCACGTTCTATCACTCCACTGAAGTTGAGTAATTGCAAAGTCTTTCCCTTGTAGAGGATAATGTGATGCTCAAGAACAAGAAGGTCTTCACACTCAAGTTTCTTAGAAATTTTCCTGTATGCCTTATATTTCATATCGAGCGGGTCTTCTGGGTTGACTGTGTAAATAATAAGTTTTTCTGGTAACTGCACAGCTAGCCTGTCCTTATAAATCGAGATTCTCCTGATATAGTCTCTACACCTGATTTTGACTCTTGTTTCAGACACTAGATGCTGAATGATAATGTCTGTCATGAGATCTCTGTGAGCATATCTTTCATTGTAAAGTCCATGAACAGTCTTGAATTCAACATCATGAATTTTAAGTTCTCCCTGATTGGTACTTCCAAGGACTTTGTTTGTCTCTGACTGAACTGAGCATGAGAAAATCCAATCGTTCATCTCACCGATCTCTCCTAGCTTGACTCCTTCCTTATTCCAAAGCGTTAGTTTCTTATTGGTTCCACCAATCACCATGTAGTGGCCTCCTGAGAAGAAGGAAATGCTTAAAGGATCAAAACCTAATTTCTTATCAAGACCGATTTGGTTGAAGGATTTTCCACCAGCAATACTGTAAATAGACAATTTTTCATCCCATGAACCAATCGCAAGGGTGTTATCTGTAGTATCAAATTTCTTTGGACAGAACTGAACTGTCCAAATTGGAGATACACTCTTCATAAGCTCAGCTAGTTTTCCTCCATTCTTATCTCTTAAGAGAACGGTTCCGTTGAAGCAACCAATTGCAAGTAACTGCCCATCTGGAGACCAATCAGCACAAAGTCCTTTGGAAGGCAAATCATGCTTGACAACATTGCTTTGGTCAAGTGTCCATAATCCGAAATCTCCGTCTGTTACCGATATCAAGCTATTAAGTACTGGATTATATGCCAAGAATTGAATAGGGTCCTTATGGTTATATCTTAGTAATCCTTCTTTGCTGATAGACCAGATAACGACTGTTTTATCAGCACTTCCAGAGGCAAATCTGAGCCCATCTTTAGAAAAAGCAACACAGTAGACATCTGACTTATGGCCTCTCACTGAATCTTCGTATTCTAAAGTCTTTGCATTGTAGAAAAAGATTCTATCACCAACAGCTACGAGAATGTTTCTTCCATCTGGACTAAAGCACACTGAATATATTGTATTCGTAAAGTTCTCATCGCTTGGAGGAGGGATTTGGAAATGACAAGCTATCTTCGTCCTCATCTTAAATTTAAATATTTCAAAATTATACAGATTCTTCGGGGTTTTGGGGTTTTGGGGTTTTGGGGTTTTGGGGTTTTGGGGTTTTGGGGTTTTGGGG